GGAGAGACCGAGGTGCAAGGCCTTAGTGGGGGCAGGGAACGCACCCCACCCTACACGTACCAGAAAAGTTTGTTCGAGGCGACAAACATGACTGGGGCGAAGCATTTTCTCAATGCTACGCTTCCTGACGTGGATAGGGTTCAGGCGAAGAACGAGGTGGCTAGCCACGCGGGGTATACCGTGGTGAGGCACGCCCTAGAGGTATGTGAAATAATTGGATTTGACTCCGGTTGGATGTTTTGAGTTTTTTGTCCTGGGTCTGATGTCTGACTGCTGATTGCCTTGTAGAGTGCGAGCTGGACAAACGCTCTAGCGCAGGAGTACATGGAGAGCGTTAGAGATCGTGCCAGCTTGCAGAGGCAGTGCGATGCCTTGCGAAAGGAGAAGGAGGAGCTCCAGAAGGAAAAGGGGGAGTTGCAGAAGAAAAACCAGCAGATTCAGAGGAGGCTGGACGAGATGACACCAACAGTGACGGAGCTCCAGAGTAGTAACAATGTCTTGAGCACGAAACTCTCTCTTGAGGAACGAAAACGAAAACGAAAAATTTGCGAAGAGAAGCTCGAGGCTCAAGACAAATACATCGAGAGCCTGAAAAAGGGGGCATTGGAGCTGAAGAAGGACGTGGAGCTGTTGGTGCACAACGGAATGGAAGGACATATTGGCAACTTCCTCAACTCCAGCACCTTCGAGGACATTCTCAAGCTGTACCGGCTGCCAACCGCAATCGTGGCCTTCACCGACTGTAGAAAGAAAGCGAAGGCCCAGTACCCAGAGGTGGACGTGACAACAGTCACCTTTGGGGAACAAGAAGAAGGGGTGGAGGAAGATGGAGAGAGCCTCTGTGCTGATTTCCGACCTCAAATTACGCTGAGGTGGGAGCGTGATGCAGAGGGGCGCACCATCTTTCCTCCATCCTTTGACGCTGAGTTGGTGGCCGTGGAGGGAGAAGAAGAAGGAGAAGAAGAAGAAGGTGCACAAGGCGCTGGAGTTGAGGATCCACCAGCAATGGCCGAAGTGCAGCCTCCCGAAGTGCATCCTGTCTCGTCTGACGAAGTGCAGACGCTGGCCCCTGGTGAATCAGAAGTGCCACCCCTCCCTGCTGGAGACGAGCCTATATCACCACCTCTTCCTGTTGAGGAGCAGCCTCCTCCTCGAGCAGAGTAGTTTAGGTTTTTAAATTTTTAGTCATATTTGTAAATAACATTGTTGAGTTTTTATATAATTTTTTATTCTTGGTCTTCAGCTTTGATTTTGAATTGCTGGTTTAGTTTAAGTGAATGACTTCGGAAAAAAGTAAGTTTATTTAACACAAGGTTCTGACCTCGGGCAAAGGAACTGATCTTTGATTTAGAAGAGGCGGGCTTCGAGAAAAGATCAAATCACTTCATAAGTAAGAGTAATAAAATCTCAACCCAATCAAATGACGCGACTGAATAACTCACGGTGAAAGGACTGAATCACTTCGAATGTGAAGTGGAGTTTATTAATTGAGTTCGGACACAAATAGAATAAATAAAAACGAGACAAAGTTTACTGGAAAGAGATGCACTAAGGGTAAAACTTCTTCAAATTATTGACATTCCAGACCCTGGGAACCCGGTTGCCTTCAGTGTCTCGTAGGATATAAGCACCTGGGTGCGGCACTTCGGCAACAGTGTAGGGGCCTGCCCAGTTCGGTGCTAACTTGCCGAATCGAGTTTCGAACCCCGTAAGACCAGCTTTCCTAAGGACAAGGTCTCCTATTTTGAATGTTCGGGGCCGAACTCGTCTGTTATAAAAGTTTGCTATCTTCTGCTTGTAGACTAGAGTTCGAAGTCGCGCTTCTTCTCTAACGTCATCAAGTAGATCAAGGTTCTCCCGAAGCAACTGTCCATTTCGTCCTTCATCGAAATGGGTGACCCTGAAGCTCGGGACTCTGATCTCGACAGGAATGACTGCTTCGGTTCCGAAGGCCAGATGGTAAGGTGTTTCGCCTATTTCAGTGGATTATAACTTTAGAGTGCGCTTTATACGTTATGCATATTTATTCTAAGGTAAAACCGTAGCGGAAGAAGTAAAATAATGTAAAATTACTCAAATAGGCCATGCGTAGAATAATACCTGTGGCAGTTCGACTCGTTGTTCTGTATGCCCAGAGAACATTGTTGAGCTCGCCTGCCCATTTGGCCTTGTGTTGTTCCAGCCTCGGCTTTATACCTTCTAGGATGCACTTGTTAACGGATTCGACCATGCCGTTGGACTCCAGATGGTAGACCGAAGTGAACTGCAGTTTAATCCCATAGCTAGAACAAAAATCTCAAAAAGAGGTGCAGTTAAACTGAGTTCCATTATCAGCTACAATCTGATTCGGGATCCCATATCTGCAGATGATTGAGCTGAAAACAAAGTCTTCAACTTTCTTGGAAGTAAGACTGGATATTGGCCGAGCTTCAACCCACTTTGTGAAGTAATCTACACCTACGATCAGGTGGGTTACACCACCAACCCCTTTTACGAATGGGCCCAAAAGATCCAATCCCCACTGAGCAAATGGCCATGGTGCTACCAGAGTAGTGAGCTCTTCTGCAAGTTGATGAGTTAGGTGCGCAAAGAACTGGCATTTCAAACATCTCTGAACAAAGTGAGTGGCATCCTTGTACATGTTGGGCCAATAATAACCCTGTCTAAGGACCTTATGAGCCAAGGTTCGAGCACCCACGTGACTTCCGCAGACACCTTCATGCACCTCCCGAAGTGCATATTCTACTTCATAGGGATTCAAGCACCGCAGAAGAGGTAGAGAAAAAGATCGCTTGTAAAGAACCCCATCAACAAGTGTATACCGGGATGCTTTTCTCCTCAACTTCATTGCCTCCTGCCTGTCCTCAGGCACTATCCCATCTCGTAAGAAGGAGAGAATTGGGTCAGTCCAGCTTGGTGTGTCTGGGTCGGTGCTGATCTCCATCACCCGTGGCTTCACGAAGCTTGGTTCATCTAAGACCTCTACAAAAACTGATCTGGAATGTGAAGAACTATCAGAGGCAAATTTAGAGAGTGAATCTGCCTGCTCATTTTCAGTTCGGGGGATTTTGCTCAGACAGAATTTCTGGAACTTGCACTTCAGCTCGGCTATCAGAGCCACATATTTCACCATTACAGGATCAACGACTTCGCAGATTGAGTTAATTTGGTTCACCACCAGCTGGGAGTCACTGTATACCTGGATCGCACTGAGTTTTAACTCCAATGCTAGCTGCAGACCAAGTAGCAGGGCTTCATACTCGGCCATGTTGTTCGTTGCGTCGAAGTTGAATTTCAAAGCATGTTCACTTCGGTATCCATCTGGGCCAATCAAGAGAGCACCAGCCCCTGAACCTTTGCTACTAGATGCCCCATCAACATATAAGGTCCAGTCATTAGGCTCCAGAGTAGGAATGGAATTACCTGGAGTGCATTCTACAATAAAATCTGCCAGTGCCTGAGCTCGGATTGCAGATCTGTGCTGGAATGTTATCTCAAACTCCCC